CCCAATAGAGTCACACTTTGAATTAGGCAGTTTGTCATTAATGACAAATACCCTTCATTTCTTGCACTTCTAAATGCTGCTGCCTGCAAGCTGCAAGCAATAAAACATTGTTCAGTAGTTTTGTTTTCTATATTTTCATAAATATCACTATTGCAACTTTTCCTGAAATACTGTGATATCATTTTGTGGCTATGTCACCCACCTCTAGTATGAAACAGCATGAACTAAATTGTAGAGCTGGCGAGGCCTCAAGGAACCGTGTGTGCAGGGTGGAGTGGGGGCGGCTGCTAGGCACTTTTTCCATCACCCATGAGACCTTCTGGCAGTAGGGAGCTCTATATTAAACTGCAGCAGGGGAACCTGACACTCAACTATAGATGCTCTCAGTAAGGCATGCATGACAGGCGAAGCATAACCCTGCACCTATGCAAAACTGGATAGGTGGGGTGAAACTTGCATCATCAGCTGCTTGTTAAAATTTGCAATTATAACAAAAGACAAAATAGCAGCATTAGAAAGGGCAAAAACGTCCCGACAAATCTCAGCAAAGCAGTTTTCCCTGACGATGTCTCAATTACATTCACAGGCATGTCTTTCTCTTTCTGTCATCTTAAGCAGATTAATACTTGTTGGAAACCTTTTACTACACTCACAGTAACGTAATGAGTGGTCAAAAATAAAGTCATCCTTATTTTACCCGTCAATGTTCCTGTTGGATCACATAATTGTGACACATTTCCAAACTTGGTGCAGGAAGAAAAGAAATTTCCTGCATTTTTATCTAATTTCGTATTATGAACAGCAACCAGTGCTGTGGTTTAAAAGTGCCAACAAAATGTTTTAATTTTTGGACAGTGGAGAAAATATTTCCTCATATATTGACTTTATGTCCTACAAGACACCTAGATACAACATTTTTACTGCTAAACTGAAAAAGAGTGTTATCTCCGGACATGGCAACGAGACTAAAAATTTGTCACCAGTGAGGTCACAGACACTGACCAGCACACAGCTAAAAAACATCTGGTCTGCAGCTGTGTGGACAGCACCTGCAGAAGACATTGGAAGAGTACAAACAGGCAGCCAGGAGACTCGGCCCAACTCTTTTCCAAACCACATGACCTCAGTACTGTGAGGACCACAGATACTCCCAGCCCTTCCCAAAGATGAATTCATCCTCATGGTATCTTGCACAGAAAACAGATTACATCACTCCTAACCAAAACAGCAGCCAGGCAACGTCTTAGCTTTGGTTTGACACATTATACGGGGAGTAGACCACGACAGAAGGACAAAACAAACAACATACAGGAAAGGCAACATAGCTGACAACAAATCAACATGTATTGTGTTTTAAAGAACCCTTGAAACAGAAAAACCTGAACACGAGCAGGTTTAATTTCGTTCCTTAAAAATAAGTAATCACCACTAAAGTGCAACTAAAACCAAGTTCTATAAGCCTTCTCAAGACAATGAGCGGAAAAAAAGAGTTATTCAACACCAGTAAAAGCAAGTCAATGACAACTAAAGAAGAGATCTGTAACTTAAATTAAGAGATCACTTCTCTGTATACGAGGGCGTAACTGTGCTTGATATGAGTTTCATATTTGGAGTCATGGATTCGTTATGTTTTCTCTACAGCAGAGAAATCATCCACAAAAAAAACCCCATTAACTTTTTAAAACTTTACAAATGCATTCACACGTGCTCGACTGGCAAAAGTTCAACTGTAACAATAAAGGCACTCAAATGCTGTGAACAGTCAATGAAGAGAAACTCTGTTTAGTGTCAAGCATAAAACAAATCAAACAAAAAAAACACAGTAAAGAAGAATGCAACATAACATAACAACACAACTGAAGTGAATAAATAAACATCTCCTGCTTGTTGCTTCTATTTAACAGATACTGTACCAATACCGTATCAGCAGAATCCTCTGTATTATTATCCTTAT